TTTTTTTCCTTTCCACTCTTTTTTAGGAGAGATAGACAATAAAGAAATAGCTTCTGAAAGTAAACTGAAAGCTATCTGTGCTTTCTAATTTTTTTTCAGAAAAGAAATACTTAGGTGCAAAATCTTACAGTGCTTCGTAAAACAGCATCGAAAGCAATAAGGGAAAATGTAAAATGCGTAAGATGATGTTTTGCCATAATAAAGAAGCATTATACTGTTTAAATTGCAATTTTCATATAATTTGATCTGATTTAATAGCATTTTTTATACTTGCTTCTCTGTCACTTATCCGGTAAAGTGAATGCAAAATGCTATTTGAAAGCTGCTAAACACCTAAGTATCTCTTTATGGTTATCTAATCAAAATGACACTGATCACAGGCATAGTCATTTGAAAAAGGCTCTGTGGGAGGGAGAATGATTGTTTTAGGACTTTTGAAGACGATGCACGCAATCAAAGTCTTCTAATCTCTTAAGGATTGTGAGTAGAAGTTGTTACGGATTGAGTAGAATTTGTTCTTACTCATGCAAACACTTAAGTACTTTAAGCAAATTTACTCAACAAGTATAAATAAATGAGGTGTTTTAACAGGGCAGTATTAATAGCACAGCAAAGTGCAGAAAAACCTTATAAACCTGTTCAGTTCTGCCTCAATTCATTGCCCACAAATAGTTCAGCAAAGCCTTTGTCTATGCTTAGTTGGTATAGATACTGTGAGATAATAGTGGCTGATTATTTAAAAAAAAATTAAATCATTAACCACTGTATGTCCCAAAACTCACAGATACAATAAAGATAGCATGCAGTTTAAAATGGAAATTTGCCCATCTGTTCTTTGAGGACTAAATCTTGCCTTCTGCTAGGAACTTTGATCTAAATTTCAGTGATATCAAATATGGCTTCTTTTGTAAAGCCAGCTGTAGATGCAGCAGAAGGAAAACCTTATTTTTTCCTACTTCTGGAAAGGTTGTGGTGTTTTGTTTTTTTTTTTAAGTATAATAAAAGATGCTAGAGGTGGGATCCACAGGTAACAAAGATTAGAAGAGACCAAGTTGAAAATTGCCTGCATGCTACTGTAATTACTTCTACTGACTGTCATACAGTATCACATAATCCAGTGATTTAAGGTTTGTGAGTAGTCTCAGATAATGCAGAAAATCTCTATCAAACTAACTTCTATTTTAAGAAATCCTAACTTCTCGTCTGCCACATTTCAAACTGGAAGACGCTAACTCTCTTTCTTCTTCAGTTTTATTTTTGCATTTCTGCAGGTTTGGGGATCCATTACATACCCAAGGAGCAAAATGCCTACTAAATCTTTTTGTGATATCTTAGAATTAACACAAGAGTGCTTTTTCCTATACTTCCGCAACATGACTTCTGTATTCAAATCATATAAAACATTTTGTGATACTGAACCAAATTAAAGCTCTCAATATTTTATCAACTAGAGCTGTTTTAGTATCTATTTATGTAGCAGTTTTGCATATGGAAGGAAAATCTGTATTAACCTGTCAATTGGAATTTGATTTTGCATTCATTCTGCGGCGTGCCGATTGCTAGCCAAACTTGCAGACTATCAGTAACCACATTTGTTCTTTCACAATAATGCGGGGAAAGCAACTGGTAGTTTATTTGGAATATAGCGATTTTTTCCTAATGTACCATGAACAGCCTCCAGCAGCCATGTTCAGAATGATTTACTTTTTTTCTGGACCCATTCTAAGTATTCTTGTGAAGGAAATATTGTATATTTGTTTGCATCAGGTTTCTTTTATTCACCCAGTTTCAGTAACCATGGAGGACAGCAGATGCCCACCGTATTTGTAACTGCTTCCTTAAGGTACTAGCTTTAACTGAAAAATTCATAACATATATAGTTTCTGCTGATGTAAACAACAAATAATGCCAGTTGTTATTTTTTTTGTGATTTAAACATGTTCCAGGGCTGATAATTTTTGAAATCCTTTTTTTCCCAACACCCTAAAATTAACAAGAATTCAAAAATAAAAAGACCTAACAAACATCTAGCCAACTTTTCTCTGATAGGGGGAAAACCGCTTATTTTTGTTCCTTCAGTCATCTTGGGGCACCTAAACTCTACAATTTGGGATATTCCAGGCCTAAATGCCCAGCATGACTAAGAGGTGCTCAGCCTGCACCTTTGCAGGGTCGTGGAAGGAGACATAGGGTGGTGTAGGTATGGGTATGTGACCCACTAGAGTGAGCACAGCACAGGCCAGAGAAATAACCTTGCAATGCTTGATGGAAAGAGCTTGATGGGAATAGCTTACCATGTTGGTTTAGCGTCCTTGTGAGCATCAGGATTCCTGGAACATGGTTTTCTGAGCCTTCTTGTCAGGAGTTATTGTGGATCCCAATGTAGCTGTCTGCCTCCTTCCAGACAAAAAAGATGGGAGAGGGATCGGAACTGGAAAAAAAAAAAAAAAAGGAAGGGAGAAGAATGAAGCCTGAGGGACAGGAAGATCAAACAGTAAAAAGATCAGGAAAAGGAAATAAAAAACAAGTATGTAAGAGGCATGCTCTGAGCAATGTTTGCCTACCTCATAAACAGCTTACTAACATATTTACAATGACTGAAAATCTCAGCTGAAGTTTATATAAAGTACAAGGCCATCGGCAGTCATCAAAAACCCAAGCAGCTTTCATGACTGCAAAGCATTTTGATAGCCACTCTATCTGTAAGGTACCAGCACCCTTTGCTTTAGAGTATTCAGGTGACTTTTGTGAATCCTTGCTACTTGCAACTGTTTTCATTGTGGGATCTGACAAGCCAAAGGGCTGTAGGATGGTGAAGTGTTGTTTCTTACTCCTTGCAACCAACCAACCAAAAAAAAAAGCATTTGAATTTTTTTGCTGATGTTTTCCATCTTCTTATTGAGACTTGCACACCTCAGAGGAACTTTGGTAGCTGGCAAACTTCTTATTACCAGGATATGAACTTTTTAAAGAACTTGATGAAGAGTCATCCCTTCTCCAAGGCAGCAATGCCCAGGAGGGAGGAAAGAACAAGGACATCTTCCAGCTGACACCAGCCCATGGTGTTAACCACCAAGCATTTTCAGCTCTCTCAGGATAGCTGATAGCAGCTTATTTTGGCCATTTGCTGTGTACAGTTTTGGGGGTGTGTGTGTTTGACTGAAATGGTAGATACTGCTCAAATTATAAATGAGAGTCTTGCTATGACCATGCAAAAGCGAAAACACTTTTTCCCCCACCTTAAAAATAGTTGCAGGAAGCTCCATACAAAGACAAGCCAAATGAATGTTATTAAGGTTGCAACATCAAACCCTTGAGCATTATAGGATGGATTTATGATTGCCTTAATAACTTTCATTCTGCCCCCGCTGCACATGCCTGGTGATACAGCCTGCTCACTCCTCTTCTCCTGCCCTGCTTTAACCAGTGCATGGGCATAAATGAAGCATTGGTGTTTGGGGTTTGACTTGGCCTTAGGATAATTCTTTGGTGGCCTTTCGTGCTGTAACTCTTTTAACATCGTCACGTGTCAAAACGTTTATGAGCTGTACAAGGACTGGAAGCCCCTTCTCATGTTTTAAGGTGAAGTTGTCAGCCTTTGAACTCTTTGAACTTTGAACTGTGCTGGTTCCAAGTGTCTCGCAGCGGGTGGCGTGGGTGGGACAGACTGTCACCCCGGGAAATCATTTGGGGGCAAGATGTGGGGCTCCAGTCGCTTTCGGCTTAAGGTGTGGGGCTCCGGTCACTTTCAGCTGAACCTGTTTGCTCAGCCCCCCAAAGGTTCTGCCAGCAGAAAAGGAATCATAAAATCATAGAATCCTAGGTTGGAAAGGACCTCAAGGATCATCTGGTCTAACCTTTCTAGGCCAGCGCACAGTCTAGACAAGATGGTCCAGTACCCTGTCCAACTGAGTCTTAAAAGTGTCCAATGTGGTGGAGTCACCCACTCCCCTGGGGAGATTGTTTCCCTCTTGTGTCCAGTCAGAATCTCCCCAAGAGCAACTTGTGTCCATTCCCCCTTGTCCTCTCCATGGGACTCCTCGTAAAAAAGGAGTCTCCATCTTCCTTACAGCTACCCCTTAGGTACTGGTACGTGGTGATGAGATCCTGTCTAAGCCTCCTCTTCTCTAGGCTGCACAAACCCGGTTCTTTCAGCCTGTCCTCATATGGAGTTGGGCCTTGACCTCGGCTCTGGGGTGGGTGTCCCGTCTGAAACACGGCGCACGCACCCGATGAGTTTTTCAACGTTACTGACGATGAAAAGGGGAAGGAGCAGCCCCAGGCAGGGCTGAAGGGAACCAGAAGCTGCTGGGGTGCTGCTGGCAAGCTGA